GTTTATTGGTTTTTGCAAATGAACTCTTCATATATATATATGTATATATATATGCACACAGAAAAAATTCTCAATTATAGAATTGCAACTTTAAGCAGCATTTGAACAGAAAATTTTGCGTTAAATTACCAATAAAACTAGAAACAACCATAATTTATATAACTGACCTCACATAAACAGCTAAATATTATATAAATATTTTGTGATATTATTTTGTATATTGCCACAAAAAATGCACTGCGGACATCACTGTTTGCTATATGTTAGCTTTACATAACAAAAACGTAAAAATATATTAAATGATCAAAAAAGTTATTATTCTTCCTTCCAAATAATTATTCATGACAATTTTAAACAACAATTAATATTTTAAACAGAAATAACATATAAAAATGACCTTAAATGGTAGTGATAAGCAGCAGAATTTGACTAAATATTATATTATTTTGTATATGTAAGTATGTATAATGCAGAGCAGACATCACAGTCTAACACTAAATGTTAACTTTGTGTAAAATATTAAAATCTACTATTATAAAAGTCATTATTTAATTCTTTGGTAATTCTTTGGTGTATATATATATATATATATATGTACATGTATGTATGTGTGTATATATATATATATATATATATATATATGTATATATATTTCTGTTCTAAATTCTGTTTTGTTTTCTCTCACAGAAGCCGTCAGAACTGTCACGGAGCAAGACTTTCAGCACTTTGAGCGACATTCTTAAACGGGTCAATGCACGTGCGAGTTCCTCAGGACAGCAGAGGACAGACAACCAGGCGCCGGGCGTCAGCAAATCCACACTGGAGCTCAATCTACAGCGTTCAGACACGCCATCAAACGCTCGAACCACCGTAAGTGAGATCAAGATTTCTCATTCATACGCATTTTATGTGGCAGCTTTTGGGAAAAAAGATAAACATACAATTAGCCCTAAAAGAGTCATAAAAACAGTCACGTTACCACTGATATTTCAGGCATATTTCAGACCATTATTATTGGAACATGGTTATTTGGAATTGATTTCCATGAACCACATCTGTGGCATGTTGTCAGTTATAACTTATTCCTCAGTAAACAGAAAACATGTTACAGTAAATACATGTACAACAGAAGCCTAGAAGAACAGTATTCTAGATTTAAAATATACAACATCACACTGTCCGTTGTTGTATACGGACCGTAAGATTTATTTATTTATTTTTCATTTTAAAGAAATTAATACTTGTATTCAATAAGGGTGAAATAAATTGATTACATTACAAAGTTGATTACAAAATTACATTAAATACTACACTGTTACATTGAAATAAATGTATTTAAATGTATCACAATTTCAAAAAATAAAATAAGCAGCACAATTGTTTTCAAGATTTATAATAATAAGAAATGTTTCTTGAGCAGCAAATCAGCATGTTAGAATAATTTCTGAAGGATCATGTGACACTGAAGACTGGAGTAATGATGCTGAAAATTCAGCTTTGCATTTTAGGAATAAATTATATTTTAAAATATATTAAAATAGAAAATAGTTATTTGAATTTGTAATAATATTTTACAATATTGCTGTTTTTACTGTATTTTTGTTCAAATAAATGTTGAGCCAAAGAGACTTCTTTTTAAAAACTTTAAAAAAAAAACTTACCAGCCCCAAACTTTTGAATGGTAGTGTATAACAACAACACATACATTTTAAATTAAACATTACATTACTGTGATCGTTTATCAAAAACTCTTGCTATTGTAGGATTGGTCATGTACACATTATTAAGGCAATAACGTTAATTGCATTGTTAATGCCTAATCAGAAGTTCATCATCATTTAAATGTAATATAAATCAAATTTAATTTCATTCAAAATGTTTACATTTTTTATTTTATTTTATTTTATTTTCCCACACTCAAAGTCATTAAGTGAGCCAGATGTTCCTTTAGAACCCTAAGAAATGACCCACTGCTATTGTCTTTCAGAACTGTGATAACCTGCCCTTGACTCCAGCTCTGGCACTTATGAAAAAGCGAAACGATGAGATTAAATCGGGACTGCTGAGGAGCATGCCCAGCGTGTTTACACCGGGTTTCAGAACTCCCAAATTTGGCCTGCAGAGGGAGACATGGAGGGCTCCGTTCAGAAGTCATAGAAGTGAGGAGGAGCACTGATGTTATGCAGGAAAGCCCAGGCAATGACATCACCAGTGTTACAATAATTCCCACATATTTAAATATGTAAATGTTACTGTAATAAACAGGGCTGCAGGTAAAAGGGGGTTTTCCTGCTTACAGAAAATAAATATTCATCAGCAATGATGTTACACTTGAAAAATAAGACTATTAATATATGCCTGATTTAAATGTGTTATTGAAAGATGTGATGGACTGTCACTGCGTTTAAATGCCAGCTGTTTATACTGCCTATCGTTTAAGACATACCTTCATTTGAACTACATTTATAGAATCGAATACCACAAAGAATTTTAGAGGCTGGCTCTTTCTATTCAAATATGCTGTGTTTAAAGTCAATATGAAATTTTGTCCATCCATTGGTCGAAAAGGACAATTGTTTCAGAGGCGGAAAACACGTTATTAATTTAGATTTTTTCTTCTTCTTTGAAATAATATGCACTGATGAATCATTCAAAATAAGATTAGGAATAATAAATGAATAAATACACTGTAAAAAAAAAAAGATTTTTTTCAAAGTTGTAAATAAAACTAAAATTTACTGGAGTATAAAATACTACAGTCTTTCTACTTCAAAATTGTATGTTTACTGTAATTCAATGTGTTACTTGATGTTTCTTTGTCATTTAGTTATAAAATTTACTAGCAATTTTCGAGTGAAAAATGTTTCAAAGTAAATCCTGCTCCATTTTTATTATTATTATTTTTATTTTATTTATTTTAAGTGTAGAGTCAATTTGAATTTCATGTTGACTTTAAATCATTAGATCTGTCTGGATGGGCTGCTAAGATTAAACAGAAATATAAAAAAGTTTGTTATGTGACAATAGATTTAAATATTTAAATATTGAAGAAAAAAAAATTGAAATATTATCATCCCTGATATAAAATATTATTTTATTATTTATATCATTATTTTATTACTAAAGGCAGAGAAAGGAATATCCCCGCACTTTTAAACTGGCTCATCATCATATATGAAAAAAAAGAAAAAAAGAAAGCTGACGAGTCATTAGTCAAACACACTTTATGCGCCTGTGTGGGTGGGTGTGTGTACATGTGGGTTTATTTATGACGTTTAGGAACTTACAAATCCGGTTTCACGTGTGAGCGCTTCAGACTCTGTATAGACGCAGCTCACTAGAGACGATCGTTATTCTCAGCATCTGTCAGAGAAGCGTGTGTGTGTGAAGTGTGTAAGACAGACGTGTCCTGGAGGATGAAGCTGCTCTATGGACTGATCCTGGCTGTGGCTGTCCTAGCTCTGGCTGCAGGACACCGTGTGGAATCTGGATGCCAGGACTTTGACATCAGTCGGGAAAATGTGTGCTGCACAAAGTGTAAACCAGGTGAGTTTTGAAAAGGAATGATTAGCTTTGGGATAAAATGATTGCGAAAAGAAAATGGATAAATATTTACTTTTTGCCTTTATTTTTGCTTGATGTAGAAGATTCATGTTTGTACAGTAAGGATTATGATTGTGGGTAGGAATAATTTTATACAAATTTTGGAAAGAAAAAATAATTAATTGAAACCATACAGATTTTTTGTCAGCCCCAAGCTGGGGGCTTATGAAAGAGGCCTTTGGTTAAAAAAAAAATATCGGTATTGATATGAAGTAAAAAAACTGAAGAGAAAAAAAAAAAAAAAAAGTATGAATGCATGGGTAAAAAGAGATGGAAAAACAAAAGAAGAGAGGAAAAACAACACCTGGTGCCATGGTATTCTTAGAGAGTACAATGTAAAATGTAATATTTTTATTAATATTAAATTTTTTTTTTATGTAAAGAGAGATGCCTGGGTTTTTTCTCAATGGAAATAATGATGATTTAATTACTTTAATTCTATTAATAACAATGTGTTATAAAGCAACACCAAAACATAAATGTAAATAACAAATGGAAACCAGACGACAATTTCCATTTATTTCTGTCATGCATACTTTTGAATGCAGGCTATTTTATATTTTCATGAGACGCTCAGATGTAAGAATTGAATACATAGTTACTGATTTGTGATGGAGAAAGTGTTTCGAAATGACTAAACCACCAATCTGGACACAGAATTACTGTGATAAATGATAATATTGATGGCAGTGCAACAAGCAACACCGCTCGAGTCAATGTAAATAGAGGTCACAGTATTTAGTCTGCTTTTAAATACACATGAAGACTGATATAGTGTCTCAGTTTCCCCTCATGATAAAGTGTGATCATGTGATAAAAACCACATCTGAAGGCCTCATTCATCCTCAAGATGCATATCAAGGTTTACTTTCGATCTGATTATCGTGCATCAGAGATGCATAATCTTCACCATAAGGAAACTTCATCAGATGTAGGATATGTTCAAAAGTCCACTTGTGATGATGTTATTAACTTGTTATTTTAATTACGTTGATTAAATTATTTTTTCTTACTACAAATAAGCATAATCAAAAACAAACTATAAATTTCTAATTCTTGAGTCACTCATGCCACTCATTAATTTATTAGTCGACTAGAAACGGTGCCTAATATTAAATATTCCTCATCCATTTATATCTCAATGTTTTATTGTTTGTTTATTTATTTATTTATTTTAATACTAAATCTTTATTCATTTGCAGATGTTCAAAGTGTATGTGTGTGTTTGTTGCAGGAAACCGTCTTGTGTCTACCTGTGGTTCAGATCCAAACACTTTATGTACTCCCTGTGAAAAAGGCACCTTTACCACCAACACAAACCAGTGGATGTGTAAGATCTGTGAGCAGTGTAGTTCAGGTACAGCATTTAATGAATATATTTTTTCTTTTTAACTGATGTTCAGCCCGTACTCACGTCCAAGATGTCCGATACTGCCGCATGTCCATGTGTCCTGCGCATCACCATACAAATGCCAAAAGAGCCCTTTACTGACAAATTCCGATTATTTTCCCAAAATCCCCAGTATACTACTTAGAGGTGTGGGTGGGTCTTATGGAAAGGGCTTTATCAGGTTGCAGTTTACCTGTCGAGAAGAAACCCAAACATTCCATCAAATTCCTCCTTCCTGTAAAAACACTGGCAGTGTTTAACCTGTTGTCTGTCTCTGTGTATTTGGGCAAGTCTTCGAACTTTGCTTGAGCACGAGTTTCTTTTACCACACTGGTTAAACACCTTTGACTCAGCCTGCTACAGAAGCCACGCCCCAGACTCTTGCACTCTTGCTATTGGAGGAATACAAATACCTAGGTATATATATATATATATATACAGTATAAATGCCACAATTCTCACAACTTTTTAACTTGACTTGCAACGCTGAGAAGTCTGCTGAATTGCACAATATAAACGATATAATTCTTGTTAACTATATAATATAAACTATATAATTCTTAATAATCTCAGAATTCTTAGAACAAAAAAAAAAAATCAGAATTGCGAGATGTAAAATCGCAGTTTCAAGGGGGGAAAAAAATCAATCTTGTTTTTCGCCATGGAATAAAAAAGGCCACTGCGACTTTAACCTCACATTTGTAACTTTTTCTTGCAATTATGAATTTATATCTGACAATTCGGATTTTTCGTCTCATAATTGCTAGTTAAAAAGTCAGAATTGTGAGATGTAAAGTAATAATTTTGAGAAAAACGTCACAATTATGAGATTAAAAAATTGTGATTTGCCATTACCCTTTCAAAACAAGCTTCCATAGTTAATAGACTGACCCAAAAATTGGAAATTTTATCTTCACGAAATTGTGTGTTGGGGTTTTGTCATCATGACATACGTCTGTGGATGATTTTCAGTTTGAACAGCCACGGATTCAGGGTGAGGCGTTTGGTTCTGTGCTGATCATGTCAAGTGTAACAGATAGGATTCAGATTTGAAAACTGGAGCAGTGCTGTGAATGTAGCTGCTTGTGTTTTGATGAAGTCTCGCTCCTCTCCTCTGCTCCAGATAAAATGCGGGTGAAGGTGAATTGCACCGCCAGCAGTGACACAGTTTGTGAGTGTATACCGGGATATCGATGTGCAAATGACAAATGCCTTCGCTGCATTAAAGAGTCTGGTAATGGACAGCAGCCCAATTCAGCAAGTGAGTCTGGATTCATATTTATGGATTTATATTAATAACTAATATGAATCTGACTGCAAGATCTTTCTTCTTTGAAGATACCAAACCAACAGTGTCGCCAGCACGTGACGCAGAAAGCAGTAAGTATGACAGAAATAAATAGCAAAGTGGGGATAATAAGGACCACATGTTCAAACTGACCTCATGGATAACACTGGTCCCTGACAACACAGAAGGATTCTGAACACCCTGAATGGGTCTTTCTTTCAAAATTCATATGGATTATTGAAAGTGTACCTACATTTTTTCATGAATTTGACCTGTTAATAACTAATATGAATCTGACTGCAAGATCTTTCTTCTTTTAAGATATCAAACCAAAAGTGTCGCCAGCACGTGACGCAGAAAGCAGTAAGTATGACAGAAATAAATAGCAAAGTGGGCATAATAACGACCACATGTTCAAACTGACCTCACGGATAACACTGGGCCCTAACAACACAGAAGGATTCTGAACACCCTGAACGGGTCTTTCATTCAAAATTCATATGGATTATTTAAAGTGTACCTACATTTTTCATGAATTTGACCTGTTATAATTTGTTAAAAAACTATTATTCATTCACTTTTGCTGAACAGTTGCATGACCTAAGATATTACCTTTTAAGAGGATAAGAGGTTGCCTTTTAACAGATGTAAAACCATAAATTTGGTTTCCATTAGCATCTTTAAAGGTCATTTAAAGTGACTGACTCATTGTTGCTCTTTGCTACAGAGATCACTGCTGCTATTCTCATCATCTTCGCGCTCATCTGCTTAGTGATACCTGTTGCTACAATCCTCTTCCTGGAGTGGAGAAGAAGAAAGGCCACTCATAAACCCCATATTGAAAAGGAAACTCTTGCAGGTAAAGATATTTGTGTGTTTTCTTAAGTTATTCAGCATATAGGTTTCCTAACACAACCATGTTTTTCTGTGTGTCTTTCGCTCAGCAGGAGGACAGACTCAAGCGTCTCTTCTTGATGAGCCCAGCTTCTGTTTTCCTCAGCAGGAACGCGGCGGCAGCAATCAGAGTTCGACGACCTCGCTAGTCTCACAGGATATCGGCCCTTTGGAAGCATGAACTTGTGTTGTGTAGCAAGCTGAACATAAATGAGCATTCATTTGTAGTTATATGCAGATATGTATAATGTCTATGTAATGTGTAATTTATTTACTGTATTCTACTGGAATCCTGTCATTAATACTGTATTCATGATGTTTGTGACTTTTTGTTGCCATTAAAGCAGCTGAAGTATTTAAGATGTTGTTGAACGTACCATGTTTTCATATTAAGCCCATGCTCTGAAACAATACATTTTGTACTTAAAATTGTTTACCACTCAGAATCAAACCTTGCTCAATTTACTCAGATGATTTTTATAATGAAAACATCTAAGATGTTAACACGTGGTACAAAAAAGAAAAACAATTCTCAAATATGAGACCTTTAAACTTAATATAAAATCAGTTGTCCACTTGCCGTTTAAGAAAAGGGGTGTTAATGCTCAAAATGTGCTCAGATGATTTTTATTATGAAAACATCTAAGATGTTAACACGTGGTACAAAAAAGAAAAACAATTCTCAAATATGAGACCTTTAAACTTAATACAAGATCAGTTGTCTACTTGCCATTTAAGAAAAGGGGTGTTCATGCTCAAAATGTGCTCAGATGACTTTTATTATGAAAACATCTATGTTAACACATGGTACAAAAAAGAAAAACAATTCTCAAATATGAGACCTTTAAACTTAATACAAGATCAGCTGTCTACTTGCCGTTTAAGAAAAGGGGTGTTCATGCTCAAAATGTGCTCAGATGACTTTTATGAAAACATATTACAAAAAAATAAAAATAAATCCTCAAATATGAGACCTTTAAACTCAGTATGAGTTCAGTAGCTCTTTAGCCTTTCAAAACAGAGAAACATTCATTGCTCAGAATGTGCCCAGATGACTTTTATTATGCAAATGCAGGCCTATAAGATGTTAACACATATTACAAAAGACAAAAAAAAAATCTTAAAAAATGAGACCTTCAACCGTCAAGCTCGGTTGCCTTTTGTCATTTAAGAAATGAGGAAAAGACGAGAGGCATTCATGCTCAAAATGTGCTCTGATGACTTTTATTATGAAAAGATGTTAACATAATACGAAAAAGAAAAAAAGAAATCCTCAAATATGAGATCTGCAAACTCAGCATGAATTCAGCTGCTCTTTAGCCTTTCTGAAAAGAGAGGCGTTCATGCAGCTGATGTCATCACCGTGCTACACATGCACAAAAGGTTACAGTGTGTGTGGGGGGTGCAGAGACCTCTGCCCTGAAATTCTGTGGGCTGTCAGGATGTGACAGTGTTTGATATTTTATTTCAACACCATCAGAATTCCCCTGCATAGCATTAATTTAAATCCACCGAATTTCCAACTGCAAAAACCCTGAATCTTCACTTTCTGGTAAAAGACTTTCTCAGGGTCTTTTCTGACCTCTGACCTTCAGATGAATGCTTCCCAATAATATCAGTAAACACAGATTTGCAGTTCTTTTTTAAGAACTGAAAATGAGGAACACACATTTCCAAAACAAATGCGCACTTGGAAAATGCTGAAATAAGGTGATTGTGCGGCACAACACAAAGATAGCAGAAATAAGGCATTATACAAACATAAAAAATACAAGATATATGGTGTCTTCTCCTTCAATTAACTTGTTTTTTTTTAACGTTTTTTTAAAATATTTTAGTTAAAGATGTTATTAAATGACTAAACAAATACCTGAAGATGAAAAAATCTTTAATACATGCATTTAAAGGCAGGGTAGGTGATTTGGTTCAAAAACATTTTTTTGTTATGCTGGTTGAAAGTCCCTTCACATCCCGATAGCAATCACTAAAAGTTAAGTTAAGTTAAAGTTTACCCAAAAATGAAGATTCTGTCATTAATTACTCACCATCATGACGTTCCACACCCGTAAGGCCTTTGTTCATCTTCTTTCATTTTTGGGTTAACTAACCCTTTAAGTGCTCTAAATGTATTTATATCGTCTGCGGAAGGTTTAGGACCATAAAGTGTTCATCCAATCATTTCCCTCAGTCTAAGGGCTACAATAGGCTGTTCTAGCTGCCTGTCAACCGATGTATTTGCAAACCTCTGCTCACCCTGTTCGCGCAGACATGATACGTCATCAGCGCGTTCCATTACACTATTGCAGACCGAGTGAGAATGGAAGGCATTTTTATTGTAATATGTTTTCTCACCGGTGAATGAGACATGAGGTAATCTGACCCTCCACCAATGCCGTCTCTCATCGTGTCGCTGGTTAGTCTCTGGTCTGCCTGTGCGCGGTCATGTGTTTTGGAGGAGGCGTGGCTATGGAGAGTGATTTGCAGGGAGGGTGGGGTCTTATGCTTTCAAAGCTAGCTTGCTATTGCTAGTCTCTTGAAATCGCCTACCCTGCCTTTAACCAAAACCCCACTGACGACGGACGATAGAACCATAAATGCTAAAATTCGAACTCATTTCTGAGCTTTGGCCTACAAAAAAATACATCATCCCTTCAGCACTCTGTGCTAGTGTTTGTTATGCAGGTGTACAATTAGCAACAGAGATTAAAAAATGACCATGTTGTACACACCTGTCACTGCAAACATTTGCAAAACAGGTTTTTAATCACCATATGAAGAGATCATTTGCAAAAACCGATAAACGCCACTTTAAAAAAAAAAAAAAGAGCTGATTGCCGTGCATTATTTTCCACATATAGCGCGACCTGAACCCTAAACACGTTTAGTCAAAAAAGCCGGTTCTGTCCACTTTCAAGGCATCGCGAGTTCACGGTTTACTGCAGAAGCCGTTTTATTTGAACAGAAGCCGATAAGTCCATTTTAGCGAATCAGCGCGCTGTATTCAGGTCAGGTGACAAGGCTACTTTCACTCTATTACTTAATCAAAACAACCCAACTGCAGTTTGATTGAAATTACTTGGAATGCGCAATAAAAAAAACGTGATTTCTGAAAATAAAAAATAAAAATGGAGTTATCAATGAACTCTTCATATAATGAAGTAACTTTGACTCAATGTATTTTAGTGTTTATCATTAATTATGTACATCTCCCTTGGTGCCATCATGTGTGATGTCCTTCAATTGGATTATACAATACTTGTTTAGGCACTCAAAAGACAACACTAAGTTAGTCACATGTTCACTGTTGCTTACAGTTCTCTTTCTTGTCTTTGGCTTTGTGACGTCCTGCTTTGTCGCTCTGCCGTTTAGTTGGCGGTATGAAGGTGGGTTCTGGTAAATAGTCATAAAAGATACTGTGCGGGTTACGAGGGGTCAAACATAGACCTGCTGAAAAAACAGGAAATGGCTGCTGATGTGGCACAAATACAGTTATTGAACTTTCTTATATAACAGTGTGCTCATACCTGACGGGGGGCTGGTGGAAATTTGGCTCTCGCGCTTCCTAGCCTTGAACGTTGGGTCCAGTTCCTCTGCAATATTGTGTATGTGTTGGTTTCGACTGAACAGAGATGAAGTGCAAAGATACAGTGAGTGTTAAAAGGCGTTCTTGAGAAACGGCACATTGTGTGAATGTGTGATAAAGAACGTGTGACTCACAGCGCAGTGCATGTGCATGATGGGCTTGCAAGATGGTTCTCGATGGTGTAGTCTTCCTCTTCCACAGGTGAATGCAGTCCGTCTGAGTTCAGCCTCTCTCGCAACATCTGAAGAGCCTGAAATTGGACCACATGGCCCAAACAGTGAAACAAAATCACAAAATGTCCATTTACACCAAAACAGAAATGTGAAACAAAATGCAAATTAAATGTCTTTCCACATCAACTAAGTGGAAAAAGTTAAACAATTAGCAAAGCCCATTTACAAAATGGAATAAAAAATTAAAAAAGGTAATTGTGACTTTTTTTCTTACAATTCAGATTTTTTTTCTCACAATACTAAGAAAAAAGCCAGAATTGTGAGATGTAAATTCAGAATTGCACAATTCAGACTTTTCTTCTCAGAATTACAAGATGTTAATTTGCAATTGTGAGTTTATAACTTGTTATTCCAAGACATAAACTTTCAATTCTGAGCAAAAAGTCAGAATTGCAAGATATGAAGTCAATTAAATAATTTTTTTTTATCCCGTGGTGAAAATAAGCTTCCATTTTTTTCACAAAAAAAAAGCCATATAATACAGAAACTTATATTGGAAATGTTTATGCATTTACATGTTTTACTTTGCAGAAGTCTTCTATAAAAGCAATAAGACGCTTGAGGTTATCAGGAAAATCATCTTGTGCTGTAATCATATTTTTATGTGTGTTGTGTTTTCATTAAATGAATGCGGTTCATTCAGACCTTCCTGGTTGTGGTGTTTCCTTCATCTCTTGGTTCAGCAGGTCTGGTCTGGATCTCTAGGTCTTGTGGTCTGTTTTCGACTCTTCTCTGATGGCGCTGCATGTAGTGGGCGATCTCCTGATTAGCATTGATGTACAGCAAAGTTACAGAGATTTGGGGCGACATCACAGCTGATATTTACTTAGACGTTTGAGAATCAAGAAGTAGTAGTTTAAACCTTTGATGTTTAATGTTATAATCGCCATTACAAGCAAATATGGAGCTGTATATTACAACTGTTATCAATCTGTTTATCAGTCCAGTTATCCTGATGATGTTTTTACCTCATCTTGGGCTACTTGGGCCACAATGAAGTCCACCTCTGATCCAGAGCTCTGAGGAAACTGCTGAACAAAAAGACATGATTTTTAAAGTTTTTTAAGTTGAAGTTTCTCATCTAATATTTATTTATGAAGGGTTTTTTTATTTCAATTAACAATATTTTAATAGTTTTGGCTAACAATAACAACACTGGTATATTAGAGGACTGCATTTACATTCAATTTTAGATTTTAATTTCAAATGAAATTTCCTTCAGATACTGTCAAATTCAAAGACTGAGGCAAACCCAAACCTGAAGCCACCAATGCACAGACACTCACAATCTCTAAAAACAAAGTAATACAGGTACCAAAGCCTGCACAAATCTGAAGGTATAGATCAAAAAACGAACCCAAAACTGGTCCGAAATCAAGCTGGATTCGAGTAGTAGACATCAAGTGTCTGTGTAAGCAAATAAAATGCGTTCAATATAGGGGGAAGTCGTAGCCTAATGGTTAGAGAGTCGGACCCAAAGGTTGAGGGTTCGAGTCTCGTACCGGCAGGGATTGTAGGTGGGGG